AACCACCAGAAAACCGGAAGTGGCGCTGTAGCTCAAGTGGTAGAGCGCTCGCCTTGAGCTGAAGAGCTGAGGGACAGCGCCCAGGCCCAGAGTTCAAGTCCCACGACCAACAAAAAAAATAATAATAATAATACAAAGTCAGGTGCTGGTGACTTATACCTGTAATCCTGTAGGATGCTGAGATCTGAGGACCATGGTTCAAAGCCAGCCCAGGCAGGAAACTCTGTGAGACTATCTCTAGTTAACTACCAGAAGACCAGAAGTAGCACTGTGGCTCAAAGTGGTAGAGTGCTAGCCTTGGGCAAAAAAAAAAAAAGCTCAAAGATAGCATCCAGGCCTGAGTTCAAGCCCCACAACTGACAAAATAAACAGAGAAAAATAATAATAAGACCTCAGAGCTTTACATTTCCAAGGCAAACTCTCTGGAGGTGGAGGTGTGGATTGAGTGGTAGAGTACCAGCATGACATTGTGTTATAGTATATGCAATGTGTATTGCAGGAAATTATATAATTAAAATGAATTTCAATGAAGAATTTTGAAGAAGTTTTGTAAAATTTCAGTCAACTACAAAGCCCTAATTTTGTGCTCTGCTTTCCAACTCAACCACACAGGTGGAGTGCCACCCATATTTCACCCAGCCAAAACTCTTGAAGTTTTGCCAACAGCATGACATTGTCATCATTGCATACAGTCCTTTGGGGACATGTAGGAATCCATTGTGGTAAGTTATTTGTTACGTCTCTTGAGGGCATTGCCTTTAGTGTGGAGTATGAAGCCAATGGGAATTGCTTGATTGGGATGACTCTATGAGGCTGGGTAATCTTAAGAAACTAACACCCCTGTTGGAAACAGCCTGGATGCCCTACAATAGAAGAGAGGATCTGAAAAATGTGGTATCTATTCACAATGGAATTTTACACAGCCATTAGAAAGAATAATATTATACCATTTGCAGGGAAATGGGTGGACCTAGAACAAATCATGTTTAGTGAGGTAAGCCAAGCTCAGAGAGATACACTGTGTATGCTTTCTCTCATATGTGGAAGCTAGATCTAAGATACACAGGGACATGATAAATTATACAGCTCTCTAGGAATTCACACACAGTGAGACCAAAGGAGGATACTCATAGGAAAGAAACAGAGAAGCACAATGCTATATGCATCTAATCATATAAAATAATATCTATCAAAATGAACTCCAGGAAATGAAAATATGAGGATTTTTCTTTTTTGCTGTTTTTGTTTTCTTTCCTTTTTGTTCTGTATGTTCATGTCCATGTCTTTTGAGGGGGAGGCACAGAAAAGGAGGGACAAAGGGTGAATAAAATCAGCAATGATACTCACTGGACACTACATTGAAAATGAACTATACAACTTTGGGTGGGGATGGGAAGGAAAAATTAGGAGAAAGCAAGGGAAGGAGTGATATTGTCCAAAAAGAAATGTACTCTTTACCTGACTTATGTAACTGTAACCTCTCTGTACATCACCTTTATAATAACAATTTTAAAAATTAAGAAAGAAAAATAAAAAGGAAACTAACAACTCTTTCAAGTCATTATCCATAAAGTTAAATTATAGCTCATAATATCTTCCTCCCTGAGGTATTTAGTTGTTGGTTACATTAAATATATGAAATTTCTTACCATAACCAGACATGTAAGAAAATACTTGATACAAGTTTAGTTTCATTATTAAATGAAGAGTGGTTCCCGTACATAGTCTGAATTTTTTTGAAAATTTGTATCTCTGTAGTGATACTTCTGTGATATATTTCACATACATAAGTAGTAAGTTTTCTGCTCCAATTCCAAGAAGTTGACATCTGCTTCTTGTAGTACAATCTGCCTCTTCTTGTATGTTGACTTCTAACCCAGATCATTCTACAAGATTCATTAAAAAAAAAAATAACACTCACACCCTAAACAAGTCAGCTCATGTCAGGATCTGGTGGCTCACACCTATAATCCCAGCTACTCAGGAAGCTGAGATCTTAGGATTGTGGTTCAAAGCCAGCTGGGACAGGAAAGTCTGAGAGACTCTTATCTCTAACTAACCCTCAAAAAGCGAGAAGTAGAGCTGTGGCTCATCTGGTAGAGCACTAGCCTTGAATACAAAAACCCAAGGACAGCGCCCAGACTTGAAGTTCAAGCCCCATATAAGCACCAAAAAGAAAGTCAGCTCTTGAGAGAGGAAAGATTATGTCCAAAGCAACTCTTTATTCAGTGAGTTCTTAATAACTGTCCCAGTAGGTAACTGGGTGTGTAAGGATTGAGGGGAGGGTGAATGTGTGAATCCTTGGTTCTTATCACTTCAGATAAATATGATACATTGTGGTTTTTTTCCTTTAAGGGTAAATACATCCTCTCCACCATTGTTAAAGGATGCACTTCTAAACTCACTGGGGAAAAAGTACAATAAGACAGCAGCTCAAATTGCTTTGCGCTTCAACATCCAGAGAGGGGTAGTTGTCATTCCTAAAAGCTTTAATCCTGAAAGGATCAAAGAAAACTTTCAGGTAAGAGAATTGCTTTGGGAAATTTAGAAAAAGACCCTATCTGTTGTTTTGCCTTCCAGAGAAATTGTGACTACCAACACCTAATAATTTCATAACCTTAATCGCTCCCATATGATCAATTATTCCTCCCAACTCTATAACTCCCAACAACAAACAAGCTGTAATCTTCCATCTTAAAAATTAAAATACAATCCTAAAAATAAAATCCAGCCAGGTGCCCATGGTTCATGCCTGTAATCTTAGCTACTCAAGAGGCTGAGATCTGAGGATCAATGTTCAAAGCAGCCCAGACAGGAAAGTCCATGAGACTCTTATCTCCAATTAACCACCAGAAAACTGGGTGTTGCTCAAGTCATAGAGCACTCTCCTTGAGCTGAAGAGCTCAGGGACAGCACCCGGGCCCAGAGTTCAAGCCCCACAACCGACAAAACAATAAACAAACAATTAAATAAATAAATAAAATCCAATCCTAGCTACTCAGGATGCTGAGATCTGAGAATGACAATGCAAAGACAACTAGGGCAGGAATAAGACTCTTATCTCTAATTAACCAGCAAAAAGCCAGAACTAGAGGTATAGCTGACATGGTAGAGCACCAGCCTTGAGCAAATAAAGCCAAGCAAGAGCTTGAGGCTGTCTCTTAGATCAGTCAAACCAAACTTTTACCTCAATATCTGAGTAGAACAGTAACCTCCATGCTGCTAGGCCCAGTAATTAGCTTCTGGACCTTACCATACTGGGTACCACTGCAGTTCTTTTCTTGACACATTTATTATGATGAGAAACCGTGAAGGAAGCAGTTTGGAGGAGAGCATAAGGGGCTTTGACTTATAGTATGAAATCTCCATTCACACAAGACAACTTATACACGGAAAACAAGATCACTGAAAAATCAGTCCACATCAAACACGGAAGAATGTTGCAGAGGGAAGGAAAATGTGGAAAATTATCTCAAATTGACAAAAAAAATTGAGGAAAGTAAGTATACTTATTTTATTCTCAACAAAATTGCAGCTCCAATTGCATAGGTGCACAGACAGCTGGTCGATTCTGTAATATGCCTGAGAAGTTACATGGTAGCACATGACATCATCTTTTTTCAGAATGATATTAAAGGCAATAACTTTCAATACTTCTTGTAGACGAGAACATGAAGGTCCTGAGTTCAATCTCCAACACTACAAATAAACAAATAAGTAAAATGAAATACTTGTTCTTAAAAAAACTGGAGGTTTGGAGGACTGCATCTAAAGGTGTTCCTTATCTTTGTTTTTTTCCCCAGTTCATATTCTTTTGATATCTAGCTTCCTATTAGAAAAGTCTCCAGTATCATTTCATTGAATTCATGAAACTCTGAACTTTTATAGGAGTTACTTCACTTTGCTACTAGATTTCACCGCTTATTAACTGGAGCAAAAATTTAACCTAGCAGTTAAGCAAAAAGAAAAAAAAAGTAAAGATTTATTTTTCTAAGTGATGAGATCAGTCATGACTATTTTTAAGTTACTCAGATTTGATTCTCTAAACTGTCTCATAAATGCTGATACGCAAAGTAGTTAAAGAAAAGTAGGCCACTGGTAGCTTAAGCCTTCAATCCTAGCTATTTTGGAAGCTGAGGTGTGAGAATCAAGGTTCAAAAACAGCTAGAGCAGACACATATAAGAGATCCTCATCTTCAGAATATTCAGTTTCCCCCAACATTGGCCCAACCCTCTTCACTTTTCTCAATCATTCCCCCTAGATGTTTGTCTCCTGGGAAGGATTCCCACTGCTGTCTCACCTTGCTGGTCTCAAGCTTGACATGTACTTTAAAAAATATTTGTGAGCAAAAACTGTCTTTTCTATCAAAGTGCATTGCTTAAAAGTTCCTCCTTTGGTTCGGTGGGTTAGCTCTTGTTAAGGAATTTTGAAATGTAAAATATGGTCTTAAACTGGTTTCTTTTCCAGATGGAATTAAGATACGCCTCAGACTGTACAAGAAATAGTAGAGGGTGTAGGTTTATTTTGAGTACTGTTAATCTTATTTCAAAATCACTTTACTCTATTCACCTGGCCAATGAGGAGCCAGTTGTAAACTCGAGTTCAACCAATTTGAGTGGAGGGGCGGGGCCTGCTGTGTTAGGGATAAATAGGGAGCAGCCTGCCTGCTGTGTGCTTGCTTGCCAGAGTTTTAGCTGGTGGCACACCCTTCTGCACAGAAGTAAATTTCACCTTGCTGGGGCAGTTCTTTATTTCTGTGTCTGTTGTTGTGACTCCAGTGGTTCATGGAGAGCATATTTAAAACATGTTCTGTCATTTGTTTCTATCATTCCAGATCTTTGACTTTTCTCTCAGTGAACAAGACATGAAGAGCATTGAAGCTTTGAATAAAAATGTCCGCTTTGTGGAAATGCTCATGTAAGTTCTGTAGGATGGCTAATTGGCACTGCGTCATGCCATTAGATTGTAAAGTGTCACCCTATAAAGTCCCCATGAACCCTGACCTGTGTCCATGTAAATACTAAGATAAAGGACAAGCAGCATGTTCTGGAGAGTAAACGTGCCTGGGTGATATGACCCACTCCTTCCTACCAACCTCCACTACTATGACATCTTATTACTTAGATTAAGGCATGACAGGCTAAAAGACCTAGAATAGAGTTAGCTTATAATGTACATAATGTTAAAATTTGTCTGTTAAAACAGGGGATAAATAATGAAATAACATGTTACTTCTGCCTTTAAAAAGAAATTCAAGTGGAGCCAGGTGCTGGTGGCTCATACCTGTAATCCTAGCTACTCAGGAAGCTGAGATCTGAGGACTGAGGCCCAAGGCCAATCCAGGCAGAAAAGTGAGCCACCAGAGCTGCTTATTTTCTTCTTAATCATTTGTACTAATCTTTCTACTTTTTAAAGTCACCTCAATGGTAGAGAGAAAGAGAAGAAGAGAGAGAGGAAAAGAGAGGGAAAGAATCTTTGTCATCATCACAAATAATACTTGGCATGTAAGCACAGGCAAACAGGCAGGCATCTTTAAAGAGCCTGAGCGTCCACATCACCTCCAGCATCTCTGTTCTGGGTGAGATGTCTCTGAGATGGTGACCAACCTTCCCACACCCTGCTATCCACACTCACACTCACCCCAGAGCTCTGACCAGGGTGCTGGCTTGGAAGGAAACAGGGAAGAAGAATGGATGAGAAACAAAAGGAAAAAGGGGAAGTGGCACTGTGGCTCAAGTGGTAGAGGGCTAGCTTTGAGCTGAAGAGCTGAGGGACAGCGTCCAGGCCCAGAGTTCAAGCCCCACAACTGACTAAAAAAAATGAGGAAAGAGGGAATGGAGTGATCAGATTCTGGTAATATCTATAGCTGTGCCACTTGGAGAGTGAACTGTTTTTCTTTTGGGGAAATGTTTTGGCAGGTGGAGTGATCATCCTGAATATCCATTTCATGATGAATACTGACTCCAGAGTGTTCCTCAAGAGTTTTCTCTCTCAAAGGTGGACCTTGTATGGTTCTCGCAGAAATGGAAACTAACTGCATTTATCTTTCTTACATGAAGTGATTGAAATACTCCCATACTTTTGACTTAACATGTTAAATAAAAGGAAAACAACCTTGGATATATGTGTAAGCTCAAAAAGTATAAATGATTTTTAATAACTTTCTGCTAATACTTTTCAGATCAATTATCCTCTAGGTTTCAAACTTTAGAAAATACTTTGAAGGCAATATAGAGAAACAACACACTCATGCATCTTGGCTGACAGGATCTTGGGAATAACTTTGATGGTTTGGATCATTAATAGCAACACAGGCACAGCCAAGTTAAGATCCAAATACTCATTATCCACAAGGAATTGGTGATCTGTTGTTCCTTGGGAGAGTCTGAAGTGTAGAAAAGTGTTCATGTAGAGTGAATTAAACACACAGTAAGGAGCAAGGTCATATTTACTTTGTTTCCTTCCATTGTGTGTCCTTCAGCTTTTATTTAGCTGGAGGATTTGCTCCTGAAGGCTGGAGTTAACCACATACCTCATGACCACACCTGTCTCCTAATCACTCTTGCTCACTTTTATCATGAAACCAATATCATGCAATGTTGCTTGAAACAACCAACATACACAAATAGAATCCTGCTTTATAAAATAATCAAAAGATGTATTATTTTAACTGAATGAATTTGTAAAGGTGGTATTAGGAACATTGAGGCATTATAAATTATTGTCCTCTAGGACTCTGAGAGTATGTTAGCATAGCTCAGTAAAAAATTTTAAAGGCAGCAAGTCCAAAAGTAAATTGGTCATATTACTGTAAACTTAAAACTATGAGTAAGATTATTAGAACCCAGCAATAGTGATAGACATATTTTTCAATTCCACTAGAGAGATACATTTTATTTGTGCACATTTGGTTTCTCTATGTTGCTGACTTTCTTATCTAAGCATTGAATTGATTTTCTAACTTCATTGATCATCTATTTGAATCCTCTTTGAAATCAATGATCATTTTTAAAAGTAGATCTTTGTGATTGACATTGATCAAGATGCATTGTACTCATAACTTGACATGTTGACTGAAAACCCTTTTGTAAAACTACTTAAAGATAATAAAAGATTAATAATTAAAAATAGGCCTTTAAATTCATTATCTGATACTTCAGCCAATTCATTGTCTTTGGATTTGATTGTTGAGTTTTGAGGCTTTGAATGTGTGACACTGCCTTATACTTTTCTGTTGAGTATATGATGATTTTGGCATCTGCTGGGGTGAATATCTCTCATACTTCCTCTTAGAAAAGAGAGAGATGAATGCCATACAAGTCCTATATACAAAGAAGTAAAAAGAGATGGGATATATCAATCTCCTTCCCAATAAAGGTGGAGAGAAATAAGTTCGGGTTTTTAAGAGATAAACAGGAGCTTAACAGGTTAAAGTCTTGGAATTAAAAATTAAGTAATGGCCCACCACCCAGTAGCTCATGCCTATAATCCTAGCTACTCAGGAGGCTGAGATCTGAGAATCAAGGATCAAGGGCAGCACAGGCAGAAAAGTCCATGAGATTCTTATCTCCAATAAACCACCATAAAACCAGAAGTGGCACTGGAGCTCAAGTGGTAGAGCGCTAGCCTTGAGCTGAATAGCTCAGGAACAGCACCCAGGCCTAGAGTTCAAGCCCACGACTGACAAAAAAAAAAAAGAATTAAATGATATGAGGGATAGAGGTTGGGAAAGGAAGGAAATAGGAAGATAGAAAGGGAGCCAAGCCAGGCGCCAGTACCTCACATCTGTAATCCTAGCTGCTAAGGAGGCTGAGATCTGAGGATCACAGTTCCAAGCCATACCAGGCAGGAAAGTCTGTGAAACTCTTTTTTAAAAAAAATACATATTTTTATTGAAAAGATACTGTACAGAGTGGTTACAGTTACATGAGTAAGGTAATGAGTACATTTCCTATTGAGCATTGTTACCCCCTCCTTTGTTTTTTTCCTACCATCCCTTCCCATCCCACTTCCCTAACTCCCGCCCCCTCTTGTAAAGTTTGTTTTCAACATAGGGTCTTGTACATCTCATTGGTACAATGGGTTAAACTGTATCCCTCTTTAAGCATTTTATTTTTTCCCTTCCCCTCCCAAAATTAGGAACATGTATATACAGGATGCAGGGCACCAGAATCAAATACAGTGAAAACTTACTTCACTTAATATCATTTTTTCCACGTCTTTCCATTTCCTAACAAATGGGGTGATGTCATTCTTTCTGATGGAGGTATAAAATGCCCAAGAGGGATTGCTGGGTCATAGGATGGAGCTCTATGTGTAATCTTTTGAGGAAACTCCATACTGCTTTCCAAAGTGGATGAACAAGTTTACACTCCCACCGATAATGATTCCCTTCTGGCCATATTCCCTCCAGCATCTGTTATTATTAGATTTCTTGATTATAGCCATTCTAACTGGAGTGAGGTAGAATCTCAATGTTGTTTTGAGTAGTATTTCTTTTATGGCTAGAGAAGTTGAGCATTTCTTCATGTGTCTATTGGCCATTCTTATTTCCTCTTCAGAGAAATCTCTCTTTAAGTCTTTAGCCCATTTAGTAATCGGGCAGTTGTTTCTTTAAGGATTTGTTGTTGGGGGATTTAGTTTTTTGAGTTCTAAGTATATTTTAGATATGAGACCCTTGTCCATTGTATGGCTAGAGAAGATCTTCTCCAAGTCCATGGACTTTCTGTTGATCTTGCTAGCTATGTCCTTAGCCTTGCAGAAGCTCTGCAGTTTCATGCAACCCCATTTGTCCAAACTTTCTATGATATGTTGTGTTTCTTGGTCTCTATTAAGTAAATTTTGGCCTGTGCCAAAGAGCCCTAGAGTGTCTACTATTCCTTCCTGTAATGTTTTCAGGGTGTCTGCTTTGACTTTAAGGTCTTTGATCCATTTGGAGTTGATTCTGGTGCAGGGTGACATATACAGATCTAACTTTAGTTTTCTACAATTTTGACAACACCATTTACTGAAAAGGCTGTTTCTCTTCCATTCTATTTTTTTAGCTCCCTTATCAAAGATTAGGTGGCTATAGGTCTATGGGTTCATTTCTCGTCTTCAGTTCTATTCCATTAGTCCTCAGGTGTGTCCTTCTGCCAGTACCAAGCTGTTTTAATTACTATGGCTTTGTAGTAGAGTTTGAAATTTGGAATTGATATTCCTCTAGCACTATTCTTTCTGCTAAGGATCACCTTTACTATTCGAGGTCTCTTATTGTTCTGTATAAATTTTGGGGTTGCTCCTTCTGTTTCCTTGAAGAATGAGGCTGGAATATTGAGAGGTATCACATTGAATTTGTACCTAACCTTTTGCAGTATTGCCATTTTCATGATGTTAATCCTCCCAATCCAGGAGCATGGGAGGTTTTTCCACTTCCTAAATTCTGCTTTAATTTCCTTTTTCAGGTTTTTGAAGTTTTCATCATAGAGGGCCTTCACTTCTTTAGTTATGTTAACTTCTAGGTATTTTATTTATTGTGGGGATATAAAGGTATGTTGGATCTTGTCAAATGATTTTTCTGCACCTATTGAGATAACCATGTGGTTCTTATCCTTGCTCTTGTTGATGTGATGAGTCATATCAAATGATTTGCATATATTAAACTAGCTTTGCATCCCTGAAATAAATCCTGTTTGATCATGGTATATGATTTTTGTGATTAGTTGTTGAAGTCGATTGGCTATAAAAGTAGTTGCTTTCCTAATTTCAGCCTTGCTCTTCTCATTGTTGGCATACAGGAAAGTCACTGATTTTTTTTCTTTTCTTTTCTTTATTTTATTGTGAAAATACTGTACAGAGGGTTTACAATTACATGGGCAAGATAATGAGTACATTTCTTATCAAGCATTGTATCCTACTCCTTTGATTTCCATTCCCATCCCTTCCCATCCTCCTCCTAAACCCCCACCCAATACTCCCCACCCCTCCACACACCAAAGTTGTAAAGTTCGTTTTTCCACATAACGACTTGTACAACTCCTTGTTGCAATGGATCCACCTGAATCCCTATTTAAACAATTTGTTTTTTCCCTTCCCCTCCACAAATTATACCAACATCAAATACAGTGAAAGCAGGGGTTATACCATCGGGGAGGGACATACAAAGCAACAAAGAAATCATCTTATAAATGTGTTAGAAACAATCACCTGAAACAAAAAAAACATTTGAATACATATCGTAGGGTTCATTTTCCTAACATCACCTTATCTGACCTTTTCTGCTCGACTCAGACATATACTAGATATTGCAAATAAGGGAAAGCATGGGACCTATGTTTCTTTTGGCCTGGCTTGCTTCACTTAATATAATTTTTTCCAAGCCTTTCCATTTCCTAACAAATGGGGCAATGCCATTCTTTCTGATGGAGGCATAGAATTCCATTGTGTGT